ATATAAATAAATTACAAGTTAAAAGGGGCATGGAAATTTCTCTTTTTTGTATCGAAAAAAATCGAACCGTGAGACTAAAGTATCGAACCGAACCGAGCCGTGAATTTCCTGTATCGTTGCACCCCTAGTTCATACCTATGTCTCCAGGTACCTTTGTTTCCCCGAGTTAATAATGAAAGTCATGACAGAAGCTTAGCTCCCTCAAACGTCACTTAAAACAAAACAAAACAAAACAAAACAAAACAAAGAAAAAGGACCAAAACCCTGAATAGCAGTGCAGGCATTGTACTGAGGAGGGGTGTCTGATGATCCATCCACTATAGTGTTTTAGACAACTTGTGCAAACTTATGAAAAGTTTGTCCAACATTAAGGCTGTCCAAGCTGAAGATGGACTTTTAAAAAATCTTCTGGAAACCTCTTTTGGACAGACGTATTGTTGCTATCAATTAAATTTAATATATCCTACRTGAATAAAACGTAAGTCGGCACAAGTTAACTAAAATGTTGTAGTGACAGGGCCTTACTGGAGGCAACGCAGGGATCTGGGGGACGATAACAGAAGGCGCTGTGTGTATGTGTGTGTATTTACCTTCAGAAACAGTGTTACTATCTTGCCACAGAGGATTCCGCGGGATTCCTGGTTGCTGGAGTACAGCAGGTCTCTGGTTCGCACTCTGGCGTAAGCGATACGCTTGTTGTTACTCAGCAACCAAACAAACATGTCTGGCACTGTGTGCTGGGGCTGCACCATGAGGACACAAATGTCTTATGAATAAAAGCTACGATGCCGAGGCGGCCATCTTGAAATGGCCTCCTCACACATAAACACACACACTTCAGGCATTTCTTTTACCTCTTCAACAAGGAAACACAGTCGTTGATTCAGCTTCGAAGCTTCCTGCAGCATTTCTTTCATTCCACCACTCTTTTTTTTCCTCTCTTCCAGTGAATTGGCTTCTGTGATCATACTCTCCTGCAACACAAACACAAAGAAATGCATAATTGTGTTGTATATTGCGTTTTACCATCAGCTGATATTACTGATGTTAAACATGTAAAATATGGACTTTATTGGATTGCTGACTTGTTAGACTGCATAATAATTCAGAAAATATGTAGAATCACTAACGAATGAGACAGTAATGTAATGATTAGATATCATGAACATAAAATAGTCAAGTTGTCAGAAAACCTGTTTTACTCAGATATTATATTGTCTACACCCAGTATTTGTGTGTTTTCAACATTTCCAGACAAAAGGAATAAGTAAAATGTTTGGGTTAGCTTCAGATACAGCCTGCATCATTCTGAAGCTGAAGAATAATTCTTTGTAATAAAAATAAATTCATTGAATAATTCTTTGTGACTTGAAATAATTTATATTTTTAATTTGTTTTACTGATGTTAAAATTATTGTAGTTCACAGCAAAAAGCTTTTGTAAAGTTAAGCTGACATCAAACTATCAAACAGTATAAATACATATCATATAGTATTGTGTACTTTTGCAATTCTATAATTGTTTTTTTGAAGAAATATTTGTTAAACATACAGACATATAT